GAAGAGGAGAATGGAGAGGTTGGAATAAACTGTAACTGATACCGACCAGCCTGGCCCTCATTCCCTCCTTCTTCCTCCCTTCACTGTCAACCTCCCTAGGGTGGGAGAAGCAGCAGAGACCACTGAACACAGGGTGAGAGAGCCGCGAGGCCTTTCGTATTTTATTTTTTGAATATACACAATGAATAGTGCTCTACTTTTGTAGGATGGCATTTACTAAAATGTAAAAAAAAAATTGGAAGAACAGCCATTTCTGTTGCTATTTTTGCTGGACTTGTTGACTGATTTAGCTTATCATTTTATATTTTATTTGGAGCCACAGCACAGCAGTAGGGCGTTTGCCTTGCGTGCGGCCGGCCCAGCCGAGCGGGGTTCAATTCCGAGAGTATCTCACCTGCACGGCAAAGCCTGAACAAGCTCCCCGTGACGTATTCGATATGCCAAACACAGTAACAACAAAGTCTCCAATGGAGACGTTACTGGGCCCGCTTGAGCAAACTGATGAACAACGGGAGGACAGTGCAGTGCAGTGCTACAGTGCTGAGCACCAACCAAAGGCTGAATCAGAACAGAGGGAAAAGGAGCATGGTGAGATTGGAGAGAGAAAAAAAGTGGGGACTATATGATGGGGACAACGTGGGGTCCCCGGGTCAGCCTCTGCAGATGGGAAGACCGGAAGCTGATGCCAGAGTGAGGAGAAAAATCCAAAAGTCCCCAGCCCTTCACAGCTAAGTAAAAGCGATCTGGACCAGCAGGGAGCTTTGGCCAAAGACCTCCTTCGCCCCTGAATCCTCAGCCAAATCAACAGCCCCCAGTAACCTCCAGGGGCTCACTAATGTGCACCGGGCCCAGTGGGACAAACGACATCGGCTTGCCGGCGTAAGAGCAGAGCTGGCCTTACACGCGTGGCGGGCAAGTGTGAGTACACGTGTACATGCCTACCAGCACACCGAGGCCCAGCCTTGCTGCAAAATGCAGACCAGGCCTTCCAGAATCATTTCTACAGTTCTGTCTCCCTTGTACATCAGCCAGCCAGCCAAACACAGCCCCCATTCTGCTCAGGAATGTGCTTTCGGAAACTTAATCTAACTGCTGAGTCTGGGCCAAATCCCTCATGGCAATAACCCAAAGACAGCACCCCTTTCTCCTGCCTTTCCTGCTTGTCCGCCACCCCACCACTGCCCCCTCCAAAGGGGGGCGGACTATAGTTCTGGTCCACCTTGATCCAACCCCGGCAAGTCCTGCCCCATCCCAAGGCCACTCTCTCGATCTCTGTCCTCATCAGGACCAAACATTTCACTTCTGATTCCTGTCTAAATGACAAGCCAATAGTTCTTGGCTTTTGAACAAAACTCACTTAGCTTCCACACAAGCTCCTTCTCCTCTCACTGTGCCTTTTGGGTAGCAACCAAACCCTCCCCTTTGTCCTTGCTGCCAAATGCAGATCCCGCCAAGCAGCAGAAAAGATTTTTTTTTAAATAAAGGTTATGAATTTTCTCTTTTCACACAGATACATCTTGTATCTCCAAAGTAAATCTACTCTCCAAATCTTGCTTCCTCCAAACAATTAAAGGTTAAGCCTGACTCCTAATTAGGCCAAATGAAGGGTTATAGCAGTTTTGGAGTCTTAGACACGTGTTGACCATTTGATGGTGAAATCTTCCTTCTAGGTGAGTAGCAAGGTCAAAGTAGCAAGGTTGCTCAAAGGTACAGCTTATTTATAATACAAGAAAATTGGGAAGCCAACTCATTGCCCAGCAATAGGGAACAGTCTCAGAACACTAAGGCAGAGACACCAGGGGCTGTTTGGGGGCATTAGTGCCTTTCAGCCTGTTCCAGATGGAAAAGGCAACATGGTTAGAAGGGGCAAAAGGGAGCAGAGCAGCGGGGATGTGTGGTGCATCTACACATGAATGGAAAAAGCAGGAGGCAGCTCGTGTTATACACTTTTACATTACTAATGCTAAACTAATACATTTTTTTCCTTTTTGGGTCACACCTGGCGATGCTCAGGGGTTACTCCTGGCTTTGCACTCAGTAATTACCCCTGGCAGTGCTTGGGAGACCATATGGGATGCTAGGAATCGAATCCGGGTCGGCCGCATGCAAGGCAAACCGCCTTACCCGCTGTATACTATCATCACTCCAGCCTCAAGACTAATGTACTTTATGGATAATCTTTTCTTTTCTTTTTTCAAGGGATTTTGGGCCATTCCCAGCAGTCTGCAGGGCTTACTTCTGGCTCTGTGCTCAGGAGTTACTCCCAGTAATTCTCAGGGAATCATATGCAGTGGTAGGGATAGAACCAGGGATTGTCATGTGCAAGGCAAGAAACTTATCCCTTATACAATCACCTCTCTAGCCCTTGTGTATAACCTGGAAATTAGTTATCTTAATCTTAAAATTAGAGGTGCATGTTATACCCAATAACATAGAAAAAAGTTATGGTTCTTTGGCCAATGCAATACTCTTAAAATACCAAGAGGAAGAAAATAAGGACAATAACTATTTTCCCTCCCTCCCTCCCTCCCTCCCTCCCTCCCTCCCTCCCTCCCTCCCTCCCTCCCTCCCTCCTTTCTTCCCAACCTCTTTCCCTTCCTTCTCACCCTTGCACTTTTTTTTCACTCCTTTTTCTTTGGTTTTTGGGCCATACCCAGCAGAGTTCAGGGCTTACTTGGGGCTTACTCCTGGCTCTGAACTTAGTGATCACTCCTGGTGGGTTAGGGAAATTGTATGGGGTGCCAAAGTTTGAACTCAGGGTGGCCTCATGCGAGGCAAGTGCCCTACCTGCTATTACTCTGACCCCAAGTAATTATATTTCAGTAGTACCATTACAGCAATATAATTGTGTAGGGATGGAGAAAGATGGGAAGGTCACACCCCAAAATAATGATAGTGGTTAGGTGAGGCTGGTGAAGGCATCTTCTCTATATGTTTGCTGCTTCCTTAAATTTTCTCTATATTCTAAATAACATAACATGAGACTGACACCCAAGGACAGTAGACACGGGGCCGGGAATATTGCCCCACAGTTGGAAGCCTGCTTCATGAGCCGAGGGAGCAGGCAGCTGGGATAGAGAAGGGATCATTAAGAAAGTGATGGCTGGAGGAATCGTTCAGGATGGGAGATGTGTGCTGAAAGAAGATAAAAGACCGAACGTGATAGCTTCTCAGTATCTGTATTACAAACCATAATGCTCAAAAGGAGAGAGAGGGTCTGGGGGAAATTGTCTGCCATGGAGGCAGGGGGTGGGTGGGAAAGCGGAAGTATACTCGGGAGATTGGTGGTGGGGAATGTGCACTGGCGTAGGGGTGGGTGTTTGATCACCGTATGACTGAAACTCAAACACGAAAACTTATAACTGTATCTCTCGGTGATTCAATTAAAAAAATTTCTCTATATTCTGAACTTTCCATGATATAACCTAACTGCAATTTAAAAATATCCAAGAATATGAGAGCAACCCCCTGGTTATGAGAGAGTAACCTTCCCTTCCCTCCAGCCTCCAAGGTTCTGTACCCCTCACTGAGCTTTCACAGCCTGCTCTGAGGGCGTCCCGCACCTGGTGCTGCTTGGCTAGACACCTAAGGGTGACGGCCAAGGCCCCTCCTGCCTTCCTTCTTGGAGCACAGCCCAGGTGAGTGGGCCTGTCTCCCAGGAAAACAGGAACACGGCTGATAGCCTCCCTCCACTCCTCCGTGGACTGAGACCCCTCAGCAAGGCCCCTCTTTCCCCACTCTCCTCCCAGGACTTACACACTCAGAGTCCAGGATCACAGCTCACTTCAAAACCAAGGGGTGTTTCTGAGTGCCCCGCCATAGGCATGACCCATACCACACAGACCCTTCCTCTTCTGGAGCCCCATCACCCATGGGGACATGGAAGCCCCAATCAGGGGGAATTGCGAAGTCAATGTGGAAACAATATTATGGTCCAAATACCATCGAAGCCCCAGAAAGTTCCCCCATGCCCTTTACAGCGGTCTCCGGGAAGAGAGGGGTCATTATCAGTATTTCTTGGCCAGAGGCTCAGCATCTAAAGAATTCTGAGGTGGCTTTTAGCCTTTGGGAACTGAATCAGCAAAGTTTCACTTTCCAAATGCACAATGTGTAGATGTGGTGTGGACCGGTTCTGGGTACCCCAGTATATACACCCAAATGGTAATTATATACAAGAGTAATGGGGGTCTCCTGCCGACCTCACCAGGTCAAACAGTCACCTGCTCACTTTCTCTTTCCTTTTCATCCCTTCACCACTGCTTCCTTTTGTGCTATCCTGGTTATAATCCAGACACTGGGGCCAGGGTGAGCCATCACAGACTGGCAGAGGCCGAGAGTGGGCATGGCAGGATCTGCTAGACGAGGCACAGCTGTGCCAATGCTCTGAACTCGGCTGCTGTGGGGACTCGGGGAATGGTGACGAAGTGGGCCCTGAACCCGGAGTGAGTGAGAAGAAGGCAGCACACAGCCTGATGCCCATAGAATCAACTCAGCCACGTAACAGTGCGGGCCCATTCCCCGTCTTTCAGCTGCTCATGAAATCCTACTCTGATCCTCACCCTGCTCACGGGGCATCTTCCTGAACCACAGCGGGTCACACAGGACAGCTGCTGCTCTCCAATTTGCAATTTCTAACTCGTCGGGTCCCCCTTTATCAGGGTCCTGGGTGATTCCTGGCAATTTCTTGGCCAACCACGCTGTTAAATGCAGGCCCAAGACTTTAGTGCCACTTGGCAGTGGTCAGGGGTGGCCAGGGCTGTATCCTGTAATGCTTGGGGGCCTCGAGGGCTATGTCCAGCGATGCTAAGTGGCACAAGGGATTGAATGCTTGGATGGGCACATGCGAAGAATATGCCTTAATCCCTAGACCGTGTCCCCAGACCGCAGGCCCCTCTCATGGTAAATCTAAAGCCGGGAGTGTGGACGGGGGGAGGAGAGGGAGCAGCAGCAAGGAGGAGAGAGGCTGCACTGTGACAGAGGGGGGAGGGAACGGCACTCACTGGCCAGGGTCACCGTCGCAGGCACGCTGGCCACGGCTCCAGCCGGCATCCGGGCCACGCACTGGTACCGGCCCACAGTGTGGTTGCTGAGGGCAGGGATGACCAGGGTCTCGTGAGTGATGAGGATGCCCAGGGTGTCGTCTGAGCCGTTCAGCTCCTTCCCGTTCAGGCGCCAGCTGGTGTTCATCCCGGGCGGCTCCACCACGCAGCCCAGGATCACCGTCCCGCCTGGCTTCTGCACGGTGGAAGGAGGCTGCACGGACACCTGCGGGACAGCACCTGCAGCAAGGACAGGAATGTCATGACAGGGAGGTGACACAATGAGGCAAAACTCAGAGCCGGGTCACCCCCAACGAACTTCTTTCTTTTTTTTTGCTTCTTGGGTCACACCCGGTGATGCTCAGTAGTTACTCCTGGCTTGACACTCAGGAATTACTCCTGGCAGTGCTCAGGAGACCATAGGGGATGCTGGGAATCGAACCTGGGTCGACTGTGTGCAAGGCGAACACCCTACCAGCTGTGCTATCGCTCAACTTCTTTATCTTTGAGGAGCTCCTCCCTGGGCCCAGCTGCCCTCTTGCTCTTACGCTCGCAAATCAGGAGGGAGAGGCCAGAGCGAGGCTCTAGCGCTGGACAGGCCTAGACCCGAACCTCAGAACCACTGGTTGTTTCCAAGTCACATGACTGGCCCTTGGCATCCGATCAGGAAAACGGGGCTCCGAATACTTGTCTTCCAGGGTTGTTAGGGAACTTCCCAACAATGCGTGCAGAGTGCCTGCCATGATCTCATCTCATAAGTGCTCGTGCAAAGCAATTATTCCTCCTCCTCTCCCTCCTCCGCAAATGTGTATTTGAAGAGACTGAAATGCAGCCGCAAGAGTTGTGATGGTTTCTTTTCTCGTGTGACTGGGTAGGGCGTTTGCCTTGCATGCAGCCGACCCGGGTTCTATTTCTCTGCCCCTCTCAGAGAATCCAGCAAGCTACCGAGAGTATCTCGCTGCATGGCAGAGCCTGGCAAGCTCCCCATGGCATATTCGATACGCCAAAAACAGTAACAACAAGTCTCACAATGGAGATGCTACTGGTGCCTGCTCGAGCAAATCGATGAACAACGGGAGGACAGTGCTACAGTGGTATTGTGACTGAGCAGGTGGGAAGGAGATGTCTTACGAAGCCCGGGAGGAGGTGGGGAGCGGCCTCTGAGAGGGCTCCTGGGGCAGGCTGAATGCTTCCATTCCACAAGGGGCAGAGTGCTTTTCCCCGAGGGAGGGATCTGGGGAAGGGAGGATGGGTGGGCACTCACTCAGGTTGGCAAAGCAGCACGTGGAGGTTAAGAGGAGCCAAGCCAGGGCGACCTCAGTTCTCCTTCCTGTCCAGGTCGTCATCATCGCAGGCAGTGACGTGCAGAATCCAGGGGCTGCAGTCCCATAAGCCACTGGAATCACTCAAAGAGACGCTAACATGCCCAGCGACACTGTGGCAAGAAATAGAGAAATGCCCATGGTGAGAATAAGAATAACGCAGTTCCTGTGGCAGCTCACGTGTGGGTCTGGCTTTGTCTCCATGCTCCCAGCATGCATCCGCCCCAGAGGCGACACCCAGAGTGCTAGATTGATCCTATTGCTGAAGAACAAGAACATTTGCTGTCATTTATCATCGGAGAAGGATCCTTCTAAGTGCCCTCTTGAGCCAGGAGGTGGTTTTATTCTGGCAAGAATGTCAGTCTTTGGGCTGGAGGGCTGGCCTTGCCCACAGCAGACCTGGGTTCGGCCTGGCATCCCATAGGACCTTGCCCAAACCCTGTCAAGAGTAATTCTCCAGTGCAGAGGCAGGAGTAAGCTCTGAGCTTTGCAAAAAACAAAAAACAAAAAATACAAAAGATAAAAAATGTCAGTCTTGCCTAATGCTCCAATAATAGCTGGGATAACGGGGTCCAGAAGTTCCAAAAAGGCTGAGGCCTCCAACCCAAGCCAGTTGTTGGAGCAGATGTCAGTATCTTCCCCACTGGCTTGCAGGAAGCCCATGCTCCTGGCCACGTAGTATGCCATGCCACACTGCAAGCACAGACTTGCACAAGGCACTATCCTGTCTATAAACACGTGCAGAATCCATCCCTCATTGAGGGGAGCTTATTAAGTAATGAATCCTAAAATCTTGGGTATAATTGGGGGGCATGATTTCCCCTCTGTTTACTCTGAGGGAAGATAGATCTCGGGGGCTGGGGAGATAGTTCGGCAGGGAAAGGTGTCTATCAGGCACGTCACCAACCTGGGTTCAATTCCTAGCTCTGAGAATGGTCCCCCAAGCGTTGCCAGAATTGATCCCTAAACACAGAGGCAGGAGTCAGTTCTGAGTACCTCCAGGTGTGGCTCAAAAGCCAAAACCCCCAAAAAAAGGTAGGTTTCCAGAGAGGTATTGAGTAATTTTTCAAATTTTTCTGAAAAGGTGGCTGTAAGCCAAATAAAAACCTCTGATCTGCATGTTGGCTCCCTTCTGCTGAATCATGCACATGTGGCAACATTAATGGTCTATTTCCAGCAGGCTGACATCTGTTCAAAATGTTAACTCTTCCCAACAGTGGAACATTTTCACACAGCACTGGGAGACGTGTGGGGAGACCAGTCCCCAGGGCTGCGCTTCCAGCAGCACCTGACATTGGAGCTAACCTGCAGCCTCTCCACACCACTGGACAGAAGGGGCTCCAGGCCCAAGTTCCAGGCTCCAGCTCTGTGCTAGGAAGAGCTTGGGATTTGCCTAAACCTCTCTCTTCTCCAAGCTCTTTGTAGTCCTTTTTTGTTGTTGTTATTGTTGTTGTTTAAAAAAAAAACTTTTTTCCCTTAATTTTGTTTTGTTTTGGGGTCATACCTGGTGATGCACAGAGGTTACTCCTGGCTCTGCACTCAGGAATCATTCCTGGAGGTGCTTGGGGGACCTTATGGGATGCTGGGAATTGAACCCGGGCTGGCCTCATGCAAGGCACGTGTTTTACCCACGGTGCTATCTCTCTGACCCCTTGTAGTCCTTAACTTCTCTCCCTCAATAACTCGAAAAGTCAAAGGCCACAACTGCTCTGCACAGTAACCATGTCCAAATCGGGCCTAGGACACCCACCATCCACTGGCTGGGATGGTGGCCAGTGGATTTCTAGTGCCTTCTTTTTCCTCATGTCTTTGACACTGAAGTACCCCTCAGCCTCCCCAATGTTCTGGGAAAGAAGCAAGTGTTTTACTAAACAGGCTTAAAATGAAATCTTGAAAATATATGTGTGCACATATTTTACTGTTGTTAAGGTCACACAGCTCACATCTAAAGTTTTTGGCATAATATATAATAGTTTTGTTGTGAAAGGTATATTAATATAAGGTAAAGGGCCTCCCGTTGTTCGTCGATTTGCTCGAGCGGGCCCAGTAACGTCTCCATTGGAAACTTTGTTGTTACTGTGTTTGGCATATCAAATACGTCACGGGGAGCTTGCCAGGCTCTGCCGTGCGGGCGAGACACTCTCGGTAGCTTGCCGGGCTCTCTGAGAGGGGCGGAGGAATCGAACTCGGGTCGGCCATGTTGGCTGCGTGCAAGGCAAACGCCCTACCGCTGTGCTATCGCTCCAGCCTTTAATTAATATATATTAATATATAAAGGTTTTGGCATTAATATATAACAGTTTTATTGCCCCTCCATCTCAATCCTTCGGTTATTTCTAGTCCACCACTAAAGAAGGTTTTTGAAAGTTCTATCCTGACAAGTCAAAAAAAAAAACTTCCTGTTGGTGAGAATGAGTTCTTTTGGACCATCAGATAAGTCAAAGGATCGTATTATTTGCAAAGCGAAATGAAGAGACACTGTCAGTAACGTGAGATTGGCTGGAAGGACAGTCAGTAGCGACACAAGGACTTCTGCATGGCATGAGGTATTCTTTTCATCTTCATAAAAACTCTGTGTAGTGGGGATTATTCCCATTTGCAGGTGAGAAAACTGGGTCCAGAGGTTAAGTAACTTCCCCAAGATTTCCTAACTGCAGATTTGGAATGAAACTCAGGTTTGAGCTGATTCCAAAGTCATGCTCTTTAACACAGTAACAACAAAGTCTCCAATGGAGACGTTACTGGGCCCGCTCGAGCAAATCGATGATCAACGGGAGGGCCTTTACTTTACTTACTTTACCACAGTAATATTCCTTTTCTTGGGTAGCTGTTTAGGGTCTACATCCAGCAGTGCTCAGAGGTGACTCCTGACTCTACTCTCAGGAATCACTCCTGGCAATTCTTGGGGCACCAGATGGGACGCTGGGGATTGAACCCATTCTTCCAGAGCAATGCAAGTGTTCTATCCACTGTATTTCATCTGGGCCCGAAGAAGTAGCCTTTTCACATTCTTCTATGAGCACCAGTGCTCCCAATAAGGGCTTCACAAATCAAGTTGGAGTAAGGGTGAGGTGGAACAGTAGAATAGTAACAGAGAAGTTCATTCACAAGTTTACAAACCAATTGCAAAGAACAAACTTCTGGTTTCCTCTAAATCTTCCAGACACTTGTTATAATTCCACTTTATTTTTTTACCCGACAAAGTAAGGTATTTACACAGAACACTGTACAAATTCCTAATTACAGGGTCTGGGAGAACTTGGTTGTTCAGGACAAGTTCATTTCTCCCTTCCTAGAGGGGAGAGCTGGCACCTGTTCCTTCCCTGCCCCAAGAAAGGAATGAAGCAGCGGGGCAGAACACGAGAAAAAGAGTAGACATAAGACAAGAAAGCTAAAATGAGCTGGAGGGCTCTTTATTATTCCCATTTGCAGGTGAGAAAACTGGGTCCAGAGGTATGAAGCTTCTCTTCTTACAGAGTCTAGCTACTAAGGTGCTGGTCTTATAGTCTACAAAGATTTACTGAGGAGATCTGATCTGAACTCTCTCTGGCTTAACAAGGATCAGCCAAATAATTCTACTTACTCCTGAACTGCCCATCATTTACAAGCTACGAAATGAAAACAGACCTCACAGCTGTCACCAGCCACCATCCCGCTCTTCAAAGCAACAAAGAGAAAAATAGGCAGCAGGAGAGGGAGAGAAAGCAGGTAACCAAAGAGGGAGCCAGACATGACATTCACCATCATTTCCCAGATAACTGTGGAATAGGTACCACTTAATGACCTCAAAGCAAGGATATGTGGGATCTCATTGACATCAAAGCAGAAGTGTGGCGGTAAGGGGATTTCTATTCGTATGACGCGTCTTGCTTAGCAGATGGAAAACTGGGTTACTTCCTGGACCAAGTTAACTATTGAGATTGGTCCACAATGGTGATTCCAATGATCCAGATTTGAGAATTTGAATGATAAAGAAGATATGGTTAAGCTGGAAAATCTCATAGCAGTGTACTTTTGTCCCACTATGAAAAGACAAGGTGCAATTTAGAAAGCAGGGTAGAGACCTGCTAGTTTTTTGCTGTTTGTTTTTCACAAAGCTAAGTGTGTCTGGGATCTTTTCTGCATTTTCTGCACATTCTCAGAAATGATGAGAGGACAATACAGAGGGAGCAAAGCGAAGGGAAAATAAATTATTGTCAAGAATTCCTCACTGAGGCTTAGGTACTTGCGATTTTATGTTTGTTTTGGGGCCACATCAGGTGATGCTCGGGGGTTATTTCTGGCTCTGAACTTAGGAACTACTCCTGGTGGTGCATGAGGGACCATATGGGATGCTGGGATCGAACTCAGGTCAGCTGCATGCTAGGCAAGCTCCCTACCCACTGAATTACCACTCTGGCCCCTGCTCTTTTAAAAGGGTATTTGGGCAAGAAAAATCAAACGTGTTTGAGAAATTTAACTGCTGACATATATCTTCCCCTCTGAAACAATCTCCTCAAAACAGGCATTTTTTTAAACTTTCCAAAAACAACAATAACAGAATACACTCCTGGGGCCAAGACCAAACATGAGAAGTTATAGTTTCAGAGTATTTATTTTTTCAGAAAAATTACAAACAACGCCAAAGTTGTTCACTGGCAAGAGAGCCCTCCCTTCCTTCTCCCACAAGGGCAGACCGGCTGAAGCCAGAGTGAGACAAGGGCTCCATGCGGGAGCTCGTGGTGCCCAGCACCACTGCAGCCCTCACTCAAAGGGATGCCTCCACGAGCCAAACCACAAACACACCCTCTGCACCAAAATCAGAAATGAACAAAGCAGGAGGCATGTGGTCTAGGAAGAGTGAGAGAAACTCAAAAACAGTCTTTTATAACGAGTACCAGATCTGACACAGACTTTTCCATAGAAGAAGGGCTATAGCCACAGTGTATGTGTGTGTGTGTGTGTGTATGTGTGAGAGTGAGTGTGTGAGTGTATGTGTGTATGCGTGTGTGTGAGTGAGTGTGTGTGTAAGTGTATATGTGTGTATGTGTATCTGACCTAAGATAATACTTATTGAATTTTTTTTTTATTTCATAAAGATTCACCCTTCTCAGTGTTCTCTGTAGGTAAAAAA